CCTAATCAAAAACTAAGATCTATGTACAATATCAACATTTGCACATAATCCACAACGGAAGATCACAATGACAAAAGTCTTCGAAAATTAATCAGACAAGTTTATCCCTACCTTTAACCTGCAAAGAAGCACTTGAAAAACAACAATAATAATGAGGTGAGATAGTAATCTCAATGAATTTTCCTATCTTATGGGTCCACTCGGCTCTAAAAGGATCACTTATTGGTTCTTAACTTAAGCCATTCAACTTTGCCCTACTAGTGCACACTTACACAATAGAACAAGGACATAAGAATTTAAGGCAATTTACGCTTCGTATGAAAAACAAACAACATGAGCTCACATAACTCAATGAATCACTATTCAGAAATGCAACAACATCGTATATTTTTCTGACTGATTCTACGTCAAGGACTATGGACACGGACCACAGATCTCTACTTCCTCAGAAAATTTCTCCCTGACCGATTTGAATCCACAGACTATGGACATAAGTTACGGTTGTCTGCACAATAAGTAATGTCTCCCTGGCAGATTAGGGTCACGGGTCACAAACTTCTCATAGCACGAAATATTTATCCTCGACCGATCCGAATCAACGGACTATGGACATAGGTCACGGTATCCACCAAATAATTATTCGCCTTTTTGGTTACTAATCTATATGAGTCTCAAACTCGGTATACACATGATTATGGGTTATTCCCGAATACACAGTTGATTTATTAATCACCATGTGATCATTCTCATCAAACACCATGTAATTATATCAAAATTACCATGGGTTGATATCACAAATACCACATGATTTTATCACAATCATAGTATATTATAATGTGTTTCCATACAAGCTAGTTGAATCATAATTATGATGTCGTTCTCCATCCATGCATTCAGGATTCTCATAGATGGAACGAATCTTCTCTAGCGACTACTTGCTCGAGGATGCACACCGAGACACCTCTTACATTCGAGTATCGCAACCTAAGTTATTTACCATAACCTAAGTTATCTCATTAATTCTATTCACCTACCTATAACTATAGGTTACTCTCACTTATCATCATGGGACTTGATTTATTCATTATTCATCCAATACATACACATCATAATATTATACATGAAACACATATAATAAATCATTACCAATAGAACTTTCAAAACAAAGGTTCATCACCAAATAGGACTTTTAGAACAAAGGTTTTTCACTAATATCCAACCAATAATGGGAACATAAACATACATGATAGTATAATATCACCAATCATGTAATATTTGGCATTCATATATGGTTTTCTTACAAGTTCTTTTTATTAACTTGCTTGTTAAGCATTAGACGAAGCTTTCACGCAACCTGCTTCATCCTAAGCTAATCCACTTACACGCCACATAATAAGCGCATGCCCGATCATTCTATGGCGGGGTTAACTGGAGTCAACAGGAATTAGAGTGGATTAATAACTTATAACTCCACAATGTTATAGCTTTATGCGTTAGCTTTCCAACGCATCCGACCACATCTCATTTTGAGTTATATAACTCAAGATACATTATTTCCAATACTGCTAGAATTCCATGACAACTGATCTTGCTAGGCAGGGATTACATCCGCTTAATAAGATTGACAGGACATAATCCCCATAATATCACTTTTAAACCCATCTTTTTCAACCTTTAACCATCCAAACTATACGTACTCATGCCATGACACACTCAAGCATTTAAGCATTATTCCAAGACACATATGTAATCACACTTCGTCATCATTAATCAAACAACATATGGAATCCAAGTATGGTTTCTTTTTACCAGAAGGTAGAACATTAGACTAGCTTCTAATTTTCCGAACTCATGTTAATCGGAACTACAATTCCTGATTTATGGTGGAAACAAGGAAACAAAGTATTTCATCAAGACTAGACACTCTTGCTTAGCGAGCTCAAGCAAGACGTCCAAGTGAGCTCTCACGAACACATGTTTCTCACTTTTATCATCAAGTTTTGTTCTCTTTCATTTTGGAATGTGGGTATAGGCAATACTTCTAAACACTTTGAAGTGAAAGATTTTGGGCTTCCTTCCACTTCATGCTTCTTGTGCTGTCTTCTCATGCACGCTTCCTATTAGGGATCGATTTGTCAGGTAAACCGCACATGCCATTGCTTCGGTCCAAAACTCCTCTGGCATCTTCTTACTCTTGAGCATGCTTCACAACGTGTTAAGTACGATCTAGTTCTTTCACTTTTGAGCATGCTTCACACCATCTTGAGCTACTCCATTTTATTGTGGTGATCTTGGCACTGTCAGTGGCCGGTGGATTCCATGGTCTTCACAATATTTGTGGAACTCATTTGAAATGAATTCTTTTCATCGGGTCATATCTCATGGCCTTAATGGAAAAAAATCACTTTCTTTCTCCACGAGGACTTTGAACTTCTTAAGTTTTTCGAACACTTATGAATTCTTCTTCAAGAAATAAACCCACATATTTATGGAATAATCATAAATAGATAGGAAAAAGTATTTACTCTTACCAAAAAAGTTAGGTTTGATTGGTCCACAGACACCGATGGATTGCATGGTCTTCACAATATTTGTGGAACTCATTTGAAATGAATTCTCTTCCTCGGGTCACATCTCATGGCCTTAATGGAAAAAATCACTTTCTTTCTCTACGTCTTAAAGTTTTCGAAAACTTCTGAATTCTTCTTCCAGAAATAAACCCACATGTTTATGGAATAATCATAAATAGATAGTAAAAATTATTTACTCTTACCAAAAGAGTTGGGTTTGATTGGTCCATAGACATCAGTGTGTATGAGCTCTATCAACTTTGTCGCTCCTGACGTTGATTTTTTGGAATTGCTTCCCAAATAGACATCCTTCGTAGAGTTGGTCTGGGTGGTTGATGCTAGGTAACCCTCTCACCATCTCCTTCTTCTCCAAATGCCCTAGAATGTTGAAGTTGAAGTGTCTGAATCATAGATTCAATAGCCACGAAGAATCGATATACCAAAAGAGGAACATTCTATTCTTTGACATATGCACCTTAACAATCAAGTTATAACTATAATCTCTTAAGAAAAACTATGTTCTTTCAAGTGAATGTCATAACCTTTTCCTAATAATTGTCCCAAGCTCAAAATACTATTCTTCATATTAGGAACATAGTAAACATTGGAGATGAATTGATGACTCCCATTTTTCAAGTGTATGAGAATTTTACCTTTGCCTTTGACTGGTATCTTTGAGTCATTTTTAAATGAGACATCACCAGTTGCCATTTCATTGATCTCTACGAACATTCTTTGATCACCACACATGTGGTTGCTTGCATCGGTGTCGAGGTACCACTTGTTTCTTTTCTCTTTAACTTGGTTTTGACACACGAGTAGCAAAGTTTCTTCTTCTCTGCCTTTTTCTTCTACAAAGTTAGATTTCTCCACAACTTTCTTCGAGAATCTACACTCGGATGCGTAGTGACCGATATTGTTGCAATTGAAGCACTTGATTTGTGATTTGTCGCACCTCAATCATGAATTTCCTCTTCCACAATCTCTTATTGCTAGTGGATTCCAACTTTTTTCTCCATCGTTGAATTGTTGGAGTAGTTGTTATAATCACATATTCCTTCTCCTTCAAATCCTCGTCCACATCCACGATCTTGGCCACAACCTCTTCCTCATTGGCTCTTGTAATCCGCATGATTTGCTTCCTTTTGTTTAATTTTTCTCTTATGTTTTTCTTTGTTTGCTTGTAAGAAACCCATTGCTCAATAGTCATGGTCTTTAAATCTTTGTTTTTTTTCAAAGTTGGTAACAATGAAGTTACAACTTGGATTTAAAATGCGAAGTATTTTCTCCATGAATTTCACCTCATCAAAATTTTCACCATTTCTTTTAAATTGATTGACTACGACCAATACTCGAGAAAATAATCATAAGTGACTCAGGCTCCTCCATAAACAAATGCTCAAAGTCACCTCTAAGAGTTCGAAGACAAATCTTTTTAACTTGCTCCACTTCTTTGTTGCGAGTTTGAAGTTTGTCCCATTCTTCTTTGGTCGTCGTTGCGTTGCAGATCTTTTAAAATGTATCTTCATCCTCCGATTGATAAATGAGGAAGAGAGTTTTCTTGACTCCTTCAACGTCTCCTTTACACTTTGGCTTAGTGAGGCTTTATCTTGCTCCTTAAAGTCTTTCTCAATGATATCTCACACATCTTGAGCTCCTAGTAGCACCTCCATCTTGATACTCATGTTGTCATAGTTGTTCTTTGTGAGCATCAACATTTGAAAAAGAAAACCTCTATTCGCCATATTTTGAAGACTTTGTGGATTTGATATCACTTTGTTGGAAATAAGGTCTTTTGTGTTTAAGAAAAGTGTTTAGAATTATTAGAGACTTGAATAGAAACTTGATAGGTAGGAGAATTATTGATGAAAGATAGAGTTTTTTTATTTTTACTTGATATAAAAATATAGGATTACATTCCTATTTATAGTACTCTAAAAAAAACTCTAAATATATTAATTCTAGAAAATTCTCAATGCTAAAAATTCAAAAATATTTTAAAAAGAATTACAACTATAAAAAATATCTAAACATTCTATAGACTACAAATTTTTTCTAGAAACATTATTTAAGATTATATAAGTATTCCAAATGTTCCAATAGACACTTTTACTGAGTCTAGAGACTAACATTGGATATCCACATCCAGGAAAACCAATTGTTCATTGGTTACTTCCCTAAAAATCTATTATACATAGGACTCAATTTTGATGAAGATTTCAAATGTATCTTTTCTAATTGCTAATCCCTCTCAAATTAAGATAATATTTTCGAATTAAGGTTTATGCAATTGGTAGAATGAGCCAAAAAAACATTACGAATTAATCTATACTCAATATATTCACTTCCAAGTATGTAGAGTTTCATTTCAAGAGGCAAAAATGAAGCCGTGTGAAAACAAAAATGACTCATAAAGTGCATTAATTAATTCTATCTTCCTACTACCCTTGTGATTGTGAGATCATTTGAAACATCAACACCATCCATGTAAAATTCTCTGTCCTCAGATCTTCTCATGGAAGTAATCAAAGGCTGCACAGGTAAAGGAAGAGTTGTTGCTTCACTCTCAAGCATCAACACAACATTCGACATGTTTGGTCTATGAGTTGCTGAATCTTGTACACATAACATCCCTATGTGTATGCATCTCAATACTTTGTTTTTAGGACTAGAAGCACGAATGCAACCATCGACAAGTTCCATTGGTCGCCGTTCGTTCCAAAGATTCCACGCCTACATCCATTCCATCATGAATACATTAGTTTTTCGCATTTCAATTAAAGAAGTGATGTGCTATATTGAAGATACTCACATAACCTATGAGACTCGAATCATCTGAATGACGAAAGCTAGTGTTTCTACGGCCACTCACAATCTCTAGTAGCAATACACCAAAACTATATACATCTGATTTAACTGAAAATAAACCTTCCATAGCGTATTCTGGAGACATATAACCACTGTAGGTGGTAGAGTTATTTGATATTAGTCAACACCGAGAAAGAATGAGTATAGAAGGAAAACGAAGAATACTTACTATGTACCAACCACTCTGGTTGTATTGGCTTCATTTTGATTTCCACCGAATATCCGGGCTAAGCCAAAATCTGATATTTTTGGATTCATGTTTTCATCTAACAAAATGTTACTTGCTTTTAGATCACGATGAATAATTCTAAGTCTTGAATCACGATGCAGATAGAGCAGTCCTCTTGCAATTCCTTCAATGATTTCAAAACGTCTCGCCCAGTCTAGTTGTGCTTGCTTAGTAGGATCTGCATCAAGAAAACTCAAATTTGTTAAGAATATGTGATCATAAAATTGCAGTAAGAAAATGTGCATGGTTAATGCGAAGAAACATACCGAATAAAAAGCAATCCAAACTTTTGTTTGGCATGAATTCATATACAAGCAACTTTTCATCCCCTTCAATAGAACATCCCATTAGTCTAACCAAATTTCTATGTTGTAATTTTGCTATCAACATCATTTCATTCTTGAACTCCTCTAAACCTTGGCCCGATCGTCTCGAAAGCCTCTTAACAGCTATTTCTTCTCCGCTCGGAAGCTTTCCCTGATAAACGAAACAACAAATTTTTCTCAGATCATTTTATTAGGCCTTAAGATAGGTTTAAATATAGAAGCATTTTGTTTTCACCTTGTAGACAGGACCGAAACCGCCTTGTCCGAGCTTATTTTGTTCAGAAAAATTGTTGGTTGCTGCTGACATGCAACTAAAATTGTAAAATGGAAGCTCAGTTTTGCTTAGTTGATTTCCTTCCAAACTAAGTTCAACTGATCCTGAAAATTCTGCAGACACCTCTCTGCTCTTTCTTGCATCAAACATTGGTATTACATCACTATCTTTGCGACGCGAATCAGTGGAAACTGCCAAGAAGAAAATCAGAAAATATATATACACAACTTAATGTCAGAAAAGCAATTCACAGTTACATTTTTTCTATCATCTTATATATAAAATAGGTACGACGAATACGGATATTTCACCTTTGAGTTTTCTCTTGTTCCTCCATACCAACCATACAAACATTCCTATGCAGGTTAACCCTGCTAAAACAGCCGATATTATCACAATCACGATCTTTTTGTTTTTCCTTCCGTTGCCTGAAAAAATTAGTACTAATCTGATAAATGAGTATCGAAATTGAAAAACTACATTACATAAAAACAAAGCTAAAGGGACTTTTAGAGTATCGTTTCTTACGTAAATCAGAACGAGCAAGACGAATGCGCAATGTATTCCCTACATGTTCAAACTTTTGAACATCTACCAACTCACCATACCAAGCCATGCAACCAATTCCAATAACTTCTGCATAAGCAGTACAAGAATCATTCTTCAAACAATTCCCTTCACAATCCCTAGTATCTACCACATTCGCGAAATCGGGCAACTTCATACACCTAAGCACCAAAAAACCATCTTCTCCAAAACTACCATTCCTCATATCAGCCTTCAATGCTGTCATCCTCCTACATCCACCTGACAAATCCCCTTTATCCTTTAGTTCAAACCCTCGTAAGCAACTACAGGTAGCCGAACCCGAAACCGACAAACCACAAACTGCATAACCACCACAAAAATTATAAATCTCACATTCATTATGAGGCCCTTTTTGTAACTCAGTCCAATTTTTCTCATTTTGGTTCCAAATAAACTCTCTTTCATAACCATCCGAACCAATCTGAAACCTCACAAAACCATTCAACATTAACTCATTATTATAAACAAAATACCTATCTCCTCCATTAGTATCCCAATTAAGAACAAAACCATGAAGAAAACTACCTGTCATATCAACACCAGTAAAAATTCTACCATCCCAATAACCACTTCTCCATTTTCTTTTCTCTCCTTCCCATACTACTATCTGTGGTGGTAACCCTTCTGGATCAATTCCCATACTATGGTTCCCTAATGAAGGATCTGTACTTGATTTCCATGAAGTGAAGAAAACACTCTTCCCATTCACAGGAACTTTCATGCCAGGTAGATAAGTATCACTTGGATTTTCAAAGCTTTCCCATAACACCACTTTCCCATTTGAAAGAACAAGGTTACCATCCTCTTTAAGAACAGCTTCGGAGTTGCTTTTGTTGCTGTGAATGATGGAAACATTTGTAGACCAGAGTTGTTTTTTGTTTTCATCGAGGATAACTAAATTTCCGTTTGTTGATATAGTGAAGGAACCATTGTTGCCATGGATGGGTTTGTTTCTGTTTGCTACCCAAATAACTTGGGGTCCAGGAATGTTGTGGTACCAAATACCAACGTAACGAGAAGAAGAGTTTTGAAAACCGAAGAAACCCATCACGAAGTTGAAGCCATTGGAGACTAAAATTTCACCTTCTTTGTCTTTGATGAAATCACCATGTTTGATACTGACTCTGGAAGTTGAAGCGGCACATGAGAATTCTGAACAGAAACGGATGAAATAGAACAAAAAGGCAAACGAAAATAAGGTTTGGCAACGGTTTGTTGTGATCATCATCAATGAAACTATGATGGAGTTTAGAATGTTACTAATTTTGTTTGTGAAATTTGTGTTTGAATAATAGAGTATTAGTTGTTATGGTTTCTTAAAGACACGTTTTGATATTGTGTACAAGAGTTGACTATATATAGAAAGTAAAAGTCATATTGAATACTGATTATTGGTTATAAACTCCTACAGCGGTAGTTTCTATAGAAATGAGGGTTATTTAGATTAGGAATAATGTGGAAAATGTGTATTGAATATGTATTGGGAGTGCTTTTTATTCATAGAAGTTGACTTGAACCAACCAAGAAAAGTGATGATATAAGTGACAAGGGTTACGCGGCAATGGACGTGGGTGGTACTTGCTACTTTGACACATAAGAGTGAGTGGTGTTGAACTTGTGTGCATTTTTAGGTGATGATTGACATATAAATATATTGAATAGATTCGAAATTGATTCACGTTGAACCTTTAAGAATGAAGTTTCTCAACCTGTATTCACTTGGTAATTCTTTTGCCTCGGCCAAACAGTCTAACAAGGTTGGCCTAACGGTGAAGGTTCAATCCAAAATACTCTTGCATTGGAGGACCAAGCATATTCGAATAACTTATTTATTATTGGTCATTGAATCGAATAAGAAGATTTCCCGCATTCTGTGTTGGACAAAATAGAAGCTATTTTAACTGTCCATCATATAAAAACTCTTCTGGTTAGGAGACACATGTCTTCGTCAAGATTAGCAGATTCTTCAACAAGTGATGCTTGATCTTGAAAATATTAAGATTAAGATTGATGATGAAGATTAAACGTTGTTGTTGTTATCACTACAAGAAATCATTGAATTAGCTAGGGGCATGGGTTAGGGGGAGAACCCCTCACTAAAATAAAACCATTTGCTTGGGGTTAAACCCCTCGCAAACTGTAAAATAGGGGAGAAAAAAAATATAAACATTTAGCTAGGGGATACCCCTCGCCATGAAGGAGGGAAAAATTTTTGAATTTTGAAATGCACTTTTACTAGGGTTCAGCGCATTTTTTGGTGGAAAGGCTGATCAATTTGCGAGGGGGTAGCCCCTCACCACGTTACGTTCCCATTTTGCGAGGGGCAGCCCCTCACTAAATGCCCCACTTTAGTTAAATCCCACTGAAAAAGCAATTATTCCTCTGTATCACTCTGCAAAATGGTCTGCCACACGCAAAACATGGCTAGGGGATGCCCCTCGCAAATTGCATGTGACTACGCTGCGTGGAGTAGCCCCTCGCAAATGCTGCCACCTCATGTGACCTTTGAGCATTGCGTTGAGTATCCCCTCGCAAACTAAAACATTAAATGCTGAATTTATTTCGCAGCCCACACATTCCTCTCTCTGTCTTCTCCATTTCTCCTCCCACATTAATTCTTCTTTCCCATTTCATTCTTCTTCTTTCCCATTAATTCTTCTTTCCCATTTCATTCTTCTTCTTTCCCATTTTATTCTCAGATTTTCTTATCTTCTTCCTCCTTCATCTTCCAACATTTATAAAAGTAAGTTATTTTATTTATGTATATTATTTTCGTATTTATAGTTTATTTTATTTTTTAGATTTATTAATTAATTTTGTTTATTTATTTGTTTGTTGTATGTACTGTGAATAAAAGAAGTTATCAAATTTTTGTAAAGAGGAACCAGCAACAAGGAAGAAGATCAAAAGGTACACACTTTTGTTATTTTTTAAAATTTTAGATGAATATCTATTTCAAAAATTATATGTGTGGTGGCTGTTGATAAAATAAATTTTTACATAACATATTTATGTATAGTTTTACATAACAGATTTTAATATTTAGATTATAAAATAAATTTTAATTAAAATGTTAATATTATATATATTATTTAAAACATATTTATCTGTTATAATATAAAACATATTAAGATTTATATTATAAACACATTTAAAACATATATTATAAACATATTTATAAACATATTATAAACAAATTATTATAAAACAGATTTTTATTATATATTATTTATTTAAAACAGATTTTTATTATATATTATTTATTTAAAACAGAATATTTAGTATTTAAAACTGTATATTTATTTAAAGCAAAATATTATATATTATTTATGATTTATTTACATAAAACAGAATGTTTATTTATTAAATATTAAATAGATTATATAATTAAACAGAATATATTATTTATATTCTATAAAACATAATATTTAAAACAGAATATTTATATTATATTATATTAGAACAGAATATTATTTATTTATATTATATTAAATATTAACAAAATATTAAACAGATTTATATTATATATTGTTTATTTAAAATATAATATTTATTTAAAATAGAATATTTATTTATTTATAAACATATTTAAAACAGAATATTAAAATATATTATATATTATTTTTAAAAACAGAATATTTATTTATTTAAATTTGAAAACATATTATATATTTTTTTATAAAAGAATAGATTATACATATCAATATACACTTTTATTTAAAAAATATGAGTTAAATCATAAAAATATATAATTTATAATATATTTAAGTTACATATACAAACTTTTTATATAAAGTATATAATTTGTAATATATACATTTTCTAAAATATTAATATAATTTGTAATACATTTTCTAATAACATATTTATGTATAGTTTTACATAACAGATTTTAATATTTAGATTATAAAATAAATTTTAATTAAAATATTAATATTATATATATATTATAAAACATATTTATCTGTTATAATATAAAACATATTAAGATTTATATTATAACCACATTTAAAACATATATTATAAACATATTATAAACAAAATATTATAAAACAGATTTGTATTATATATTATTTATTTAAAATTAAATATTTATTTATTTAAAACAGAAAATTTAGTAATTTAAAGCAGAATATTATATATTATTTATGATTTATTTATATAAAACAGAATGTTTATTTATTAAATATTAAATAGATTATATAATTAAACAGAATATATTATTTATATTATATAAAACATAATATTTAAAACAGAATATTTATAGTATATTATATTAGAACATAATATTATTTATTTATATTATATTAAATATTAAACAGAATATAAAACAGATTTATATTATATATTGTTTATTTAAAACATAATATTTATTTAAAATAGAATATTTATTTATTTATAAACATATTTAAAACAGAATATTAAAACATATTATATATTATTTTTAAAAATAGAATATTTATTTATTTAAATTTGAAAACATATTATATATATTTTTATAATAGAAACTAGATTATATATATCAATATACACTTTTATTTAAAAAGTATGAGTTAAATCATAAAAACATATAATTTATAATATACAGGGCCGGCCTTTCACAGGCGCAACAGGCTCTATGGAACTGGGCCCCAAAATTTTGGGGGCCTATTTTTTTTTTTTTGAAATCTAATTAATATGAAAAAATTTAAAATATATATTATTTTTCCTCATTCCAAACGCAACCTAAAACCGAAAAGACGCCAAGGAAAATGAAACGTCGGCATTAAAGAAACCCAAAACAAAGTTGTTTATATACATCACATAATAAACCAAAAACAAAACAATATTAGAAAGAAAAAAACAAAACGGCGACGGTGAGAGTGTGAGACGACGGCAGTGCAGTTTAATCGGTAAGTTTGTTCAAATCAAAGTAGTTTATCTTCATGTTTTGAAAGAAAAAAAATATAAAATTAAAGAAAGAACATACATAGATAGAAACTTGTATGTGTTTCTTGGTTTATGATTCTTTCTCCCATGGCTCTATTGTGTTTTTTTTCTCCTAAAATTCTAAAATTGGTTGAGTTAATTTTACTGTAAAAAGAAAAGAAGAAATGGGTTAAGTTAGGTTTCAAAGAAGAAAGAAGAAAAGAATAGAGATGGAGAAATGAATAGAGAATAGTGAGTGCCGAGTAGTAGCTGTCAAATAAATGGTATAAGTAGAATAATGAGTTATGAGATTATTTTGTATTTTTTTATTACTTTATACTTTTGAGTTTTGATTAGTTCATATTAAAAACTAATTGAAAAGTAGAAAGGTTGCAAGTTGTCAAAGAAGTGTGATAGAAAGATTGCAAGCTGTCAAAGAAGTGTAATAGAGAATAGTGTATTTTTTTATTATTAAATTATATATATATTTTAGATTTAGGCCTATTTATTAAATTAAAACAGGGCCTCCAGATTGATTGGGCCGGCCCTGATAATATATTTAAGTTACATATACAAACTTTTCATATAAAGTATATAATTTGTAATATATACATTTTCTAAAATATTAATATAATTTTTAATAACATATTACGTACATAATATTTGTAGAAACATATAATTATATAATTTGTAAGTTAAAATGTTATAAAGCATGTAAATTCGTAGAAACATAATATGGTATATATTAGGTAGGTAAAGTCATAAGTTTGTAGGTAGATCAATTCCCCTTTTCTTAAATATAAATTTAAATATGAACAACCTTATACATGTGCAGTATGGAATATTACCAGTTCTATCGTAGTTGGATGTATGATAGAACGTATCCAGGAAGACGTGGGCTTAAACCACATTTTAAAGAAGGAGTTGTTGCGTTTCTTACTTATGCGTTTGCTCAAGACTGTTGTCGAAGCGAAGGAGGAGTATGATCAAAGACTTGCACTTTCTTTATCTGAGCATCCTGAGTTACCTCCACCACCACAGGGATACCCTGTTGATCCTTGTCTAGGTTTTCAGACTTGGTATGATGCTGCTCGCGGGAAGAGGAAAAATGGAAGGGTGTATGGTGCTGGAGGGTATGCCAAAACAATTAAGCGACGTGATAGGACTTTCAGGATGAGACTTGATGATGGAGAAGGATCATCACGTCCACCTATATATTAACCGCTGATATGCTTGAAACTGTGAGAAATTTGGCTCAGACCGAGGCAGCACGTGAGGCAGCAGCTAGACAAGCAGAGATGGAGGAAATGAGGAGAAGAC